ATCCAGGTGGAGCTCAATGTCTAGGACAGAGCAAGAATATAATATAAAAGGCTCAAACACTAATATTCAATGTTTATAATTTATTACATTGGAATTGTAATCATGATCCAATTCATCAAACCTACAAATTCAAAAAGAAATTGGAATATATATATATATATATATATAATTATTATTTAAAAATATCTATTCATGGTGACACATGGTAATTTCTGTGTTGTGATGAATACATGTTTTAAATAATAATTATAATATGCTCTACTCTGTATTGAACATTTTTTTTAATAAATGTTAAAGAAATCTGACTGTTCTTTCTTTCATTCATATATATATATATATATATATATATATATATATATATATATATATATATATATTTTTGAAAGCAATTTTAATTTATGCAAGTTATATTATAAACCAGCAAAACTAATAATTTTAAATCTGACTTTTGGTTGGTATCGAAATATGTAATTTCCTACATCTTCTGTGTATTTTTGATTAACACTGATAAATTTGAAAAGGGCTAGTGGAGTTAGTTACTCAGGCATTTATTTATTATTATCTTTACACTCATCATTGCTACAATTTTGTTTGTTATTATTAAGATTATTACTGTGATTTTCCTTCGTCTGTTATTTCTCTCTTTCATAACATTATGCTTCCTTTTGTTGTTATTATCACTTTACTTTCTCTTTTATATTGTTATCATAATTTCATGTTTTCTCTTTGATAATAATATTATTATTATTTTCTTCAATTTATATCATTATATTTCCATTATAAAGTTTACTTGGGGAACTGCAATTAGATTGATTCACAGTTAAGGTTGAGAGTTCTTAAGTTTGATGACTGTTTTTTACACATTGTAAAGACGTCTTTTAAAATCAGTTTTGATTTATTCCAATCAAAATGAAACAAAAATACCCAAGAATGTTTAAAAGTAACAAATTCTTTTATGTCTTTCTGGATTTTGTTTTCGCAAATGTAGCAATTGTCTTTCTACCCTGTTTTGCTTCGTTTCAATGTATTACGTCTTTGAATGTTTGTTCAAGTCAAGACGATGTACACTCACTAACAAACAATTCACCAAGATAAAAGACGTCCATGTCTACTCGTGTCTTGAAAGAAAAATAATAATAATAAATGTATTTATCATGCAAATTCCCATTTTCTCTCACTCTGTTCCAGTTCATATTTATTAAGTTCCAAACAAACACTTTGCTAACAGCATGGTGTTTATGTAACCTCTGTTATCATAAGTAGGATTTATTAAACAAAACATTAAAACTTTAATTTGCTCTAATCATTACATGCAAAGAGACACATTAAATACTAAAGCCTGATAAAGAAGTACATCAGAAATTATTTTACTATAGATATTCCATTTATACTATTTACATCATTCAGACTATTCTTCTCATATTTATTGCCATATTCATGATGTTTTGTAAGGAGAAACCAGCCACTCTCCTTAAAATAAGACTGCAGAATCACTATAAAGCCATAACATGATAGGAAATAGAAAAATCAGGTATGTTCAACCATATATGGAAGGATGAAGTTGAAATAATAGACAGAGCACATCACGTGTATACTAGGCTACAAAAAACTTCTAAACTGACCATGAATACAATATGGGAACCAGTAATGCAGAGAGTGAGAGAAAAAAGTTGTAATATGAGCTCTGGTAAAAAAAAAATATGTAATTGAGACCATAGGTTTACAAGACCCCAAAATCTACTTCCTAAGGACATATGGCCTGATGGATAAAAGTGTTGGCTGAGTAATCCAAAGAGTGTCTTGACCCAAAGACTTATGATTTCAATACTTGACCACATGAACCCATTAATGCCTACTATAAAATCTGGTATTATTTATAAAAATTAGTAAAAAAAAATCTAATATTAATTATAGATTTTTAAAAAGAAAACTAATGGCAATATTTATTAGTTTTATAAATCCTTTGAATTACATTGTTCTAATTTGCATATTTCATGATAAAATCTTCATATTATTCAGCTTCTAGTCATGTCATATTGAAACACTGGATCACTGACTTTAAGTAACATCAAGTCTGGTCAGTACCTAGATGTCTGACTGCTTGTACATACCAGGTGTTGTCAGCTTGGATGTGATGGTGGTGTAAGGGAATTGGTAATTGGAGAGTCAAGTTCCAATTACAGTCAGGTTTGTTATATTCACTTACCTTCAAATACCTTTGGAAAAGGTATCATCCACCTCATCTCCCCCCCCACCTATAGATTAATTGGTAGGACTTGTATCAGTTAATTATAATCAACTTCAAAAAGTTTCTTACAATCTAAAAATATTTTCTGGCATTAAATAACCTGCAAAAGGTTGATAAGCCATAAAAAAAATCAATCAGGCATGTTATTTTAAATTCCTTTATGAGTCATACTAAGGAAAAATAGCTTGAAAAAATTTTCAGTTATTATTGAATTACATTGTTCTAATTTGCAAAAATTTTCAATTTGCATAATAAATAATTATTATTGAATTACATTGTTCTAATTTGCATAATAAATAATAATAAAATTTTCAGTTATTATTGAATTACATTGTTCTAATTTGCATAATAAATAATAATAAAAATTTTCAGTTATTATTGAATTACATTGTTCTAATTTGCATAATAAAAATAATAATAAAATTTTCAATTTGCATATTAATAATGAATTACATTGTTCTAATTTGCATAATAAATAATAATAAAAATTTTCAGTTATTATTGAATTACATTGTTCTAATTTGCATAATAAATAATAATAAAAATTTTCAGCTATTATTGAATTACATTGTTCTAATTTGCATAATAAATAATAATAAAAATTTTCAGCTATTATTGAATTACATTGTTCTAATTTGCATAATAAATAATAATAAAAATTTTCAGTTATTATTGAATTACATTGTTCTAATTTGCATAATAAATAATAATAAAAATTTTCAGTTATTATTGAATTACATTGTTCTAATTTGCATAATAAATAATAATAAAAATTTTCAGTTATTATTGAATTACATTGTTCTAATTTGCATAATAAATAATAATAAAATTTTTCAGTTATTATTGAATTACATTGTTCTAATTTGCATAATAAATAATAATAAAAATTTTCAGTTATTATTGAATTACATTGTTCTAATTTGCATAATAAATAATAATAAAAATTTTCAGTTATTAGAAACCAAACAGAGTATAAATCCTTTTTTCATTAGAAAAATAACTTTTTACACTGAACAAAAATTTTATGAAATCATGTATGAAATACTTAAACTGAATAAACCTTATTATTTTAAGCTAAAGAATTTTATTCATTGCATACTAGTCTATCAAATAAATAATGGTGTCTGTTTTTAAGTAATACATTAAAGACGTAGAACAGAATAAGGCCTGGCAAATTGAACTCACACGACAAATTAAAGATGAGAAAGAAAATAATGCAGTCATTCATCTGACAAGTTCATGCTAATGAATGAAAAAAACACAACAAAACGACAGCGATATCATAAACCAACAAAGAACTGGAAGCTGTGGTGATCTATGATTGCTCATGTCCTGAATAGAAAAAGTCCAGAGAAAGATTGAATGGCATTTAAGACATGTCATTAATATTTAATACTATCAATTAAGCTAGCTCCAGTGGATGGCTCTTAATTGAGCCTTCAGCTTGTTCAGGAGTTTGAGAGTCCCAAATTCTTTGCATATTCTCAACATTGAAAGCTCTTCTGCTTGCCATTTGTTCTGGGTTTTCATTTGCACGGGACTTTCTTTTCCTCGCTGCAGTCTTAGCTCTTTTGATTACAAACTGGTTCTCTGTTGGCAGAGATTTTTTTTTTGTGAGGCATACTGTTGCTATATGCAACAATAAACTACAGAACAACTCAAAATTGATCGCTGCATTTAAATATTGTATTAAAATTTAAGTTTACCTTTTAAAAGTTCAATGATAATTCTTTTGCCACCATTTAATTTAAAGACAATTTGATGTAGGTCCTTACTTTCCGCACAAACTATTATTTAATTATTTCCATTTTGTGGGTGATTTTTGCTGAATTTCACAATTGAATTCAATTATTTCCAAGTTATAAAAATTGTTATTGTACAAAAACATTTGTTGCAAAAAAACACGGAAAAAATCGTTGATAACAATTGCAGTAATGAAAACTGGGGAATCCAAAATTTCAGGATTGCAAGTCCAAATCCAACCAAGAATGTTTTTAATTTGCTCATAGATTCAGCCTGATTCCCAAATTGTATGATATGTTGGGAAATGGCCTCTAGGAGTGAAATTTCACTGTGACATATTGACATTCGCATTTATTTATACAGACTAGAGTATTAGTATGTATTATTCCAGATTTTAGCTACATACAATTACCACTATTTATGGCATCTGGGTAACATTAACCTACCAGATACTTCAATTTTACTTATAAGCTCCAGAAGATATTTTTGAGTCCTTTTTGTGAGAAAACGAAGAGAGGGTTTAAACCATATTTAATGGCATATAAGAGAGAGTCTTGTGTTTAATGGCATATAAAAGACGGTCTTATATAGCATTAAATAAGGTTTATACCCTATTTAATGGCATATAAAACCCTCTGTTTTATTTAAAATAATAAGATAAAAGACGAAAAACGTTTATCAATCTCACATGTTTCATTTTTTTTAAAGCTTCATCAGAGAATGAGATGAATAAAAAGAAGAAAGAAATTCTGGTATTTTTAGTTTTGTGTTTGATTTTTATTGGTTAATTAGGTTTCATGTGTATTCGACTTTTTAAATAAATGTCTGTATAATTCATGGTGTTCCAAATTCAAGGAGAGACCACGCATACCTTCGAAGTTCCAAGAAGTTAAGGTAATGACTTTGGCATTCTGCTCAGAATTATTCTTATGGCATCATCAACATTTTTTTTAAAATTTTTTTTTATTTGTTTTACCTAACTTTCATAATTCAGTTTTTCTCTTTTCAGGTTTCCTTCTTTTCCTACACTGAAGATGTCTACAGAACTTTCCAATACTGAATCTATTAAAGTGACCAATCCTCTGGTCAATGTGGTTGAATCTTCCATGACTGGGACCACTTTGGTCAACGATCTACAAAGACGAGTACAGATATTAGATGAAAAATTGTTCAGTATCCAGCAGCTTGCTTTACTTAAGGTTTGTCATGTCTTGAATTTATAAAAAAATGATTAATAAAGAGCAGTTTTGTTTTGGATGCATTAAAATTAACAAGATATTCTTTGCCCCAACAGACTTGAGGTCATTTTTGAGATCAGACGACAGTTTGACCTTATCAAACTGATCAGGCTTCTTGTAGAGATGAGAGTAAATGTCTGTGTCATCAGCATAGATACCAACTTGAGAACTGATGCCATCAGGAAGGTGAAAATTAAGAACAAAGTATTACAAAAGATAGAACTCTGGGAGACACCTGCATCAGTATAAATGGATCTAGAAGAGTGGACATTCAGGATAAATTACATTTTATGATTTGATAATAAAGACTGAATGAGTTCAAAAATTTGTCTGGAGACACCATAACTTTTTACCTATTGAAGATGATCGGTATGCCAAATCCTGTCAAATGCTTTTGAGATATCCAAAGGAACAGCCCAAGCTTCACCATTCTTATCTAAAGCTTGATAGACTCTTTCTGTAATAATTGTTAATATATCAATAGTTGACCTAGTGAAAGCCATATTGCATGTTTGAAAGAAGGCCTTGTGATATGAGATGCTTAACCAATTCAGCATTGATTAAGGCCTGTAGTAGTTTACCAAAAAGAAGTAGAAGTATAATAGGCTGATAGTTGGAAGGGTCAGACAGTTCACCTGAGTTCTTAAATGCTGGAAAAACAGATGAGGATTTCCAACAAGCAGTACTAACTGCAGAAGATATTTTGAACAAGTCAATCTGAGAAGCTTGAAAAAATCTTCAGCACAAACCAACCATATTTATTCCATTTCAATTCATCATCAATTTGCTGAATTTCTTTCTTTTTCTCCCTTCTTTCTTTCCTTTCTTTCTTTTTAATTATCTGTTTTTTGTCCTTTCTTTATATTTCACTTTTTTAATTGCCTTTTTCTTTTTTTTTTCTTTTCTTGCTTACTCAAAACTGTTTTCTCATTCTCTTTCACCTTTTTATCCTCACTTCTTCTTTTTTAGTTTTTCCTTTTCTTTCTTCCATTTTCTTTTTCTTCAACCATGTTTGTTCTTACTCAACATCATCTTTCACCTTCCCACTCTCTTGTTTCTTTTCCCATTTACTACATACCACTCTATTCTAGATGCTTGTCTTTTTTTATCCTCTTACTTCTGTTTCTCCTACTTCTTCATTTTCTCTTACTTTCTCTCTATTTCTCTACCCTTCCTCTTTTTTTCTTTCTTTCTCTTCATTCTCTTACTTAAAACCCATCATCTTTCTTTGTTCGTTTTTTTCTTTTTACTCTCACATCTCCTTTTTATTAAATGTTTACTTCCTCCCCTTTCCTTCTACTGTTACTCTCTTTTCTTCTCTCTCATTCTATTTCATATCCTTATATTCAATCTCTTTTTATCGTTTTTCTTCCTTGTTCTTTTCCTTCAGGTCTTCATCTTTATTTCACCGTCTTTGTTCTTGTCTACATTTTTTTTCTTTCCTGCATGTTCTTCGACCAAATATTGTTACCTCAAAGCCTCGCCAACCCGGCTCAGTGTATGCCTCCATTTTTTTTATACTTTGTAAATTTTCCGTAATATCTTCTTACTTAGTGGCCAGCATCAACATATATTCATTGATGCAAGAAAAAATAAAAATAAAAAGGAGACAATGCTGTGGCGTAAAATGTGACGAAATAAAGACCATAGAAAAAGACAAAAGAAAAAATAGTAGGCAAATAAAAGGAAATCAACATTTTATTTGTTTTCTTTCTTTCTTTTTTTTTTTTATCTCCCTGCATTTGGTTATTACAAGGAAAGAGAAACATTGGATGAGAGAATGGCTACTTGACAGTTACTGTCATGGATCCTATCACTTCTTGTCGATTTCTACTGGGCGGAGAAAAAATGTATCATGGGGGAATGCAGAAGAATAAAAGAAGAGAAAAAAATATGAAGGTTGATCATTTTTATTTAATAATAATAACAGACAAAAAAATAATAGTAAAAGAGACAAAATCATAAGCCAAGTTGTGAGCTGATGTCCATGTTTTTTTTTTTTTTTTTTTATTCATTTATTTGGGGGGATTTCTTTTTTTTAAGATCTGAATGAGTGAGTGTTAAATTTTTTTGACTCAAGATCACTTGAGATGGCAAGCGTTTTCCTTTCAATGCTTTGGTAAAGTTTGTTTTTTTTATGTTTTTCTTTCCTTTGACCATTTTTCTTTCAAGGAATTTTTTTTGCGATCATTTTATCTTTTGTTTTTTATTTCCGTGTGTGGACCACATTTCTTGGTGCCATTTCATTTTTATCCTTCGACCATTTCACAGATTCTTACCAGTACTTATGTTCATATGAAATACAAAAAGGTATTTCGCACTGATTTTTCTCACTTCTCTTATTTATCTGTTGAGATCGGAAATTCCATCAAGCTTTTGTTTATGTTTAGCATCTACCTGAGAGAGAAAGAAATGTGGTGGGGGGGGGGCAATGACGAAGGGGGGTGTCAGGAATATAGATAACTGTCCTTTCGACCGGACATGTAATACTTACAATGCTTTTGTGATGCGTTAAGTGAACTTGCCTCTGAAAAGTGAATTCAAAATGAAACAAGTACCTTAATGGAAAAATTATAATGTAGGCGAGAGGTCAGCTTCATATTGTACCCTAAAAGTAAATAAATTCTTCTCTTTTTTTTTTTTTTCCATCTCTTCTTTTCAAACTTTATCTTCTTTTTACTTACTTTTTTACTTTTGTCCTCTTTCTTGAGTGAACATACCATCAGTAACTCGTGGCTTGCTCCCACTGGGGATGAAGTGATAGCAGGCCTCCTCAGTACTCCAATACTATTCTTTTTATTATTCTAGCTGTTTTTAGTCATGGTACCATTTGAATGCATCCAACTTTTCCTCTCATTTCAGTTCCTTCCTTTTTGCCTACCACATGTAACTCAAACAGATAATACTGACATAATCAAGAAGTTGACATTCCACACTACTTCAAACAAAAGGTTAGGAAGGAAACCCCCAGCAATACTAGAAATACAATAACAGTTACTGGACCTGGGAAAACTATTTTTTTGAAAAAATAGTTTTAATAGAAAGATTTTACAAATTTCAACCAGCAGTATAACTGGCTGCTTGATTAATGAATGCAAATGTTTTCTTCAAGAGAAAAGGCTAATATCAACATTAGAGAAGAGCAGAACAGATACTACACTTCTGTCCAAGTTTGATTGCCAGGGAAGGAAGAAATGTGTCACAATAGTAGCTATGGCTGATTGGTAAATGAATGCTGAATGTTTCCTTATAAGGAAACAGCTAATATTATCAATACCATTAGAAACGAGAATAGATATTGCACTTTGATCATAGCTTGATGGCCAGAGAGTGAAGAAAAACACAACTCTTAGCTCTTGCTGCTTGGTCAATGAATGCAGATGTTTCTTTATAAGGAAATGGTTAATGTTATCATTGGAGATGAGGAGAACATATACTATGCTTTGATCCCAGCCTGATGGCCAGGTAGTAAAGAAAAAACATCATTAAACTATCTCTGGCTGCTGTCAGTGAATACCAAATGTTTCCTTATAAGGAAATGCTTAATATTACTATTACCATTAGAGATGGGAGAAAAGAATCTACACTTTGATCCTATCTTGATGACTAGAAAGTAAAGAAAATCATTACTCAAGTAGCACTGGCTGCTCAGTTAATGAATGCAAAATGTTTCCTTATAAGGAAATGACTAATAGTACTATTACCATTCAGTACTGTTGCTTGCACTCTGACTAGCACCTTAAATTTCTATAATTTTCTCAGCTTCCTGGCATGGTCAAGATACAAATCTATTTTTTCATATTAAGTTCTTCTCTGTGATGAACCAGAACTTCAAAATCCACCATCTGTCATGCTTTACCATGAAATCCATTCTTCTGATCAGGATTGAGTGAGTCATTTGAATCTCAAAACTCCTACAGGATCTTATTTCATTCTCCAGGGCAGATTCTACTCTGTGCATATACCACTAATTTCTATCATCGAAATGCAGTTATTTGTATAGTGCTCAGTCGATCACCTTCACTGTCACGTCTGTTTTTTTCTGTCCACTCTTAATCACTATTATTATTAGTTCACTATTAGACCCCCCAGATGTAAACTCTGGAGAAGGTAGTAGAAAACCACTCCACTATCTTTCCTAAGAATGCATGGCAATTCACAGATAATAAAGAAAATTTCAGTGGAGAGTAATGATTGCCTCCATCTTGAATGGATATGGCATTAAAAAAAATGCTATTAGAAAATGATAATATTTAAATAAATTTTTAACTTAATTTTCTACATAAATAATCTTTGACTTTTCTCTGTAGAATTAATTATTGTGTTACTTCTAAGAAAAAAAATTATTGATTTTTACATCATTTAAAACTAAAAATATCCTCAGAAATCAAACACAAAGTAAGAAAAATCAATGTATTAGCTACCCTATCTCCTTTATTTACAAATCTGATATTCCATTGTTATAGCAATACAAGTAATCTTTACTTATAGGCATTGAATATCTTTTGTTATTACTACAACAAGCTCATTTCTAAAAAGGAGAGATCAGGATGTCTGACTAACGAATATATAAAGTCACATTGTGTTTAATATCTCAGAACCGTGAATTGAAGGTTGTTCTCAATGGATTCACGTCCAGTTCCTATCCCACGAACGCAGGTGTTCCCCAAGGCTCCATCCTTGGCCCCACTTTACTCCTTATTTTCATCAACAACCTTCCTGACGCCATAGATTCTCAAGTTGGCATCTATGTGGACGACACTACAATTTAATCCTCCCTCAAAAACAAATCTAGTGTCGGTGACAAAACTAACTTGGCTGTGCGTCTTGAAATGGACCTCCAATCAGTTGTTAATTGGGGCAAGAATTGGCTGGTCAACTTTAATGCCTCAAAAACTAAACTACTCTCTATTAATCACCATAGAGATCCTTCCCTGCTCCCCATTAGAATGTCTGATAGTCAACTTCTTGAGAGCAACTCCCTGCATCTGCTTGGTCTCACGTTGACTGCTGACCTGTGATGGAACAAGTACATTGAGTCAATTGCTTTGTCCACCGCAAGGAAAGTTGGCTCTCTGTGCCGTGCGAGGAAATTTTTCTCCCTGGAATCGATACTTCAAATATACAAATCAACCATTCACCCTTGCATGGAGTATTGCTGCCATATATGGTCTGGGGCACCTTCTGTTTACCTCGGAGTTCTTGACAAGATCCAGAGACGGATATGTAATATAATTGGCCCTGATCTGGTGTCTCATCTACAGTCACTCTCTCACAGATGCACCGTCGCCTCTCTCTGTCTTTTCTACAAATACTTTCATGGTAATTACTCCGATGAGCTGCTTTCACTGGTTCTTAGACTCCATGAATTCAAGCACCCTACGAGGCTGGCATCCTGCTCCCACCCTTACACTGTAGAAACTTTTAAATGTAGCCATCTCTTCTACTCCAATAGCTTCATACCTCACACCTCTCGCCTGTGGAACACCTTTCCCAATTACTGTTTCCCTGAGAGCTATAATCTCCAACTATTCAAATGTAATGTCAATCGACATCTCCAGTTACCTTGATCTATCCACTATCCCTCTCCTCATCCTTTCTTCTATCACTCCTATCTGCTCTTGCTCCAAATCTTCTGCAACCTCCTGTATCCTAGTGGCTTCACCCCTTGCTCGGGGCATAATGCTTAAAAAAAAACAAAAAAAAACAAAAACTTCCAAGGTTTGCACAGTTTCAACCATTTTTCAGATCTGCATCTCCTCCAATCTCACCTGTTGTACTCTTCAACACAGTTCCAAATGAGATATTTTTCTGTACCACCAAACACATTAAACTTTTCTGTTTTACAACTTCTTCAGCTCTTGTGAAGTCCTGGTATTTTTTTTTTCTAAATCCGGAGACTGTCTTTTTCTTATTCAAAATAATTATGTCCACTTTTCTTGGTTTAATAAGGTGGCTAGTCTGGATCTCCAGATTCCAGAATATTTTACTGTTGTATCCTTAAGGAGGTTACAAACAGACAAAGATAGTACTCAAGTGAAAGGAACAGCAACACAGGCATAGATGAAAAAAAAGAAAGGTATCTTGTAAAAGAGGATACACAACTGAAAGATAGGGAATCGGTTAGCAAGCTAGTAATTGCCAAAGCAAGTCTACCACGTATATCCTGTACACTCTCTCTCTATATCTACCGATATAGTCAGTCCACATATGCAATAGGGAGTGTGGGACATTACAAGATTTACTCCTTTCAATTTTCTGTCATTTTTGCTTTGTGTTCTTTTTATTTGTTTACCACTGATGTTTTGACCTCAGATCTTAAATATTAATTGGATTATAATCAAGATATACACCAGAGACCTTGTCAAAATCCACAAACATATATAAGATAAGATAAAACAGATAACTTCATAAATATTACAATAATTATACTGATAAAATACATTATAAAAAAAAGATAAGTCATATTTACTATTTCTGTATCTCAGAAGAACCTTTTAAAGAGTGCCTTTTTATTTTTGACCACAA